AAAAATAATAACAAAGTTGCCTGCTTCAATTTTATGGGATCCTAGTACATCCAGCAGAACCATATTAAAATTTGATATTTGACATCCTTCAACTACACAAGCTAACTTCTAATTTAAACCTCTTTGAATTTTATAGTACCCTGGTATATCGACCAATAAAAGTGTAAAATATGGGTCACTTTCTGAGACAAATCTTAGAATTAGAGGGTAACTCCAAAAGACATACTTCACTATATTTTAAAATATATGAACGGCAAAGAGGTAACAAAAGAAAGAAGGACAGTGAAGACGCTTCTCTGCAATCCAAGACAGAAACTTTGGTTTGTGATTTCGTGAAATTTAAACAAGAAGAATCTATGATTATATTGTTTACGTAACAACAGTAGGAACTTAAAAAGATTAATCTTACTCTTACTTGTATACAAGAAACAAATGCCAAAATTGAAAATTCGATCGAATTCCTGAGTCAGCAAAATGAAGAGTTCAAGAAGAAAATAGCTACTTTAGGAATCACAGTCTAAGGAAGATAGCTCTATCTTATATTGAGATTCTGGAAAATAAAATAGACAATCTGCAGAAGGAACACAGGAAACCTAATTTTGAAATTAAAAATGTACCGAAAAAAGAATTTGAAAATAAATCAGATCTTATAAATATGGTAAAGATGTTGTCTAAAAACGTCGGCTCAGATTTGGCTACGTCCGATATAAAGGACATCTATAGAGTACGCGGAAAAAAAGGAAAGTCTCCAAATACACCTATTGTTATTGAAACAACATCATCCCTTCAGAAAATGGATTTGCTCAAAAAAATGCAAGATTTTTAATAATATGAACAAATGTAAGCTCCGTGCGAAACATCTTGGTATGACTACCTCTGAGGAGACCCCAATATTTGTATCTGAGCAATTAACTGCTAAATCTGCTGGACTCTATTTTATTGCCAGGGATTTAATTAAATCTACGGATTATAAATATTGCTGGACCAATTATGGCAATGTCTACGTTAGAAAGGATGATGAATCCGCCATTATTACATTGACTTCTGAACCCCAAATTCATAAACTGTTCAATTTAAAATGACTAGATTTGGTGTTTATGTTGTCATGTTGTTTGTATTCTTGGTTTCTGTTATGGTCTTTTATTTTATGGTTTTTTTATTTTATTACGATGTACGCTGCGTTGGGAGGCAAACGCGTGTTTTTGGTTAGGCGTTATTACGATTTCAATTTTAATTAATGTTCTTACACTTACACTCACTCTCATACTACACACACAACACACAAAATCAATTATACATTTTCCAAGTTTACCATGGCGTAGAGATAATGGCAAAATATTTATAATTACTAAATTTTATGAAATATTTATCACAATGACCTTCCGTGTTATTCTCAAATATTCAATTTTAAACTACCCCCTCGATCATTTCAATCTTTCTATTTATATTAAATTAAATGGTTACTTCTTTGCAAACACTAAATGACATAGATTGTGCTAAAATTGCTGACTCCATACAATACAATATCCAGGACTTAGGTAAACATATTAAAATTAATAAATTAGATCTTACTATCTTTACGCAAAATATAAAAAGCGTGAATTGTAATTTTGATGATCTTTTGGTAACTATTGCGCAACTAGAATTTGATCCTGATGTATTTGTTACGGCCCGAAGCTGCCCCTGCAAAGGTCGCCTTGGCTGGGGCCTATAGCAGACTGCTCCACGGGCAGACGCGGGTCGGGCCCAAATGGCCATATGTAAGAATGTCCTATCATACTAAACTGAAGGGAGAAGGCTAGAAAAATATAGTACGTACCTGTATCCGAATCTAAGGCCACCCCAAGGCTCGGTCAGGCCGTAGGTGGGTGTAAGGTGCATGGAAAGTAGTGTTTAGTGATGTGTATGTGTCTGAGACCTGGACCAGGTGACCGGCAGCGGCTGATTTCCAGGCTGCCCCACAATGCTGCATCACTCCAGTAGGCTTCCCCGCAGGACCATTTCTTTCTTCATGTCACTATTTCAGTCTATTAACTGCATTGTACATTTAACTAATTTAAACTCGCCTAATTCTACATTCATCGTAGAATCGAACACGTGACACCCGACACAGTAACGGACAATAGTTCAAAATTCAACATTCAACGTCCCGAATTCATTTATCACCAAATGACGAATAGTGAACTAACGCGATCTCTTGGTAAGTCACACGGTTCAGCGTTACAAACACAATTAAATTCCTTCGTTCGATATCCAATACGCCGCGATAAGAATTCAAAATACGCCTCATTGACACGTAAAACTAACAAAACAGTCAACACACAAAAAAGGGCACTTAACGCGACGGCACAATTACTTTCAAAGAAGTTACTTTAATCAGTTAAACACAATACAAGCCTCTTGTCAAGAACTTAAACCCTAGACAACCTAAAACGAGGCGGTTTTCACGAAACACAATTACGTAGCGAAGTCACGCGCACAATTTCCAAAATTCTAGACCCTAATCCAAAAAAAACCGGTCTCGCGAAACCTCAGCGGCGGGAATCGAAAGACACCAGTTAACTGCCCAGCCGCCGTCGAGCTACTATCAACTCCTCTCTCGCCCGACAGCACCAAAACGCTGGGAAGCTCCTTTCCGCTGCCCCCCCCCCCCCCCGCAACACGCGTGACACCTGGCACCATCGGCCGATTCACGAAGTCGAACGTGATTGGATGTCGTACAAATTACCTTTTTTTGGGCCTAAACAGTATTGGTCCTAACAGAGTGTCATCTAGATAAAAGCAAAGCTATTCCTATTCTTCCAAACTATACTCATCTTGCAACAACACACCATATTAATCAGAATGATGGTGTAGTGATATATACAAAATTCTTATTAAAAGCAAACATTACAGAAGTTGTATTAAAAGAGGCGTCATGCTTACAAGTAAATATTTTTAACCATCTTGTACTTGGTATGCACCTGTAATTAGTCACTTGGCTAATCTTTGTTTTCGAACAGGATTATTCCCGCTCTCACTTAAAAAAAATTTAATTACTCCGGTGTATAAAAGTGGTAAGAGAGACGATGTCAACAACTATAGGCCTATCTCAGTCCTTACATCTATTTCAAAAATTTTAGAAAAAATAATAAACATTCGAATAATTAAGTATTTAACTAAATATAACAAATTATCAAAAATCAATTTGGATTTAGACAAAAAATTTCTACTGAAGACACGGTTTTAGCACTTACTTCTTTAATAATTGAAAATGTTGATCACTGAAAAAATGTATTACAATTTTTCTTGATTTAAAAAAGGCATTTGACACCGTCTCTCTTCCCACTCTAGTTGCTAAACTAGAACATATCGGCATTCGAGAAAAAGCAGTTGAATTGATGAGGGACTATGTATTTACAGGGACGTAACCAGAGGGTGAAAATTGGAGACTACCAAAGCCAAGACTTCGACATTCCTTACGGCGTACCACAGGGGAGTGTCTTGGGCCCTACTCTATTTTTGATATATATTAATCAGCTCACAGAATTAAATATTGAGGGTGACCAAGTCTTTTCGTATGCTGATGACACTGCTATTGTGTTTACTGATAGTACTTGGAAAGGTGTATTTGAGAAGGCTGAAAAAGGTCTTTGTAAGGTGTCTAGATGGCTTAGACATAATCTACTAACACTAAATGTTAATAAAACCAACTATATGTGTTTCAGTATAGATAAACGAACACAGCCCCCTAGTGAAACTTTACTAAAAATTCATCAATTTGATGATACAGATTTTTTAAATTGTAATTGTGAAATCTTGAGCGAGTACATAACACAAAATATCTTGGAATAATTTTTGACCAACATCTTTCGTGGATTAGTCAAATAGAATACCTACGTAAACGCCAGAATTCGTAAGCTTATATGGATATTTAAAAAACTGCGTTACATTACAACGACTAAATTGATAAATCAAATTTACACATCTTTAGCTCAGTCGGTTCTAGGATATTGCATTACGGTATGGGGAGGAGCGGCAAAAACTAACTTACTGAACATAGAAAGAGGACAACGATACCTTCTTAAAGTTATGTATTAGATTAGATTTAGATTTAATACATATAATAAATATAATAAATAGCCTATTAGATTTAATACCGAACAACTGTATAATATTAGTGATGTTCTTACGGTTAGGCAACTGTATATCTTACAGTAAATTTTAAAACACATACTAACTCGCCATATGATCCAAAAAAAAAAAAACATCTACACGGGGGAGTCATAACGTCCCAATCAAGATATATGTATAATTACTTAAATAAAAAATCAAACTTTCACCGGCTTAATTATCGCGAATGTAAAAAAATACTTACCGATCATCTTAAAAAATTATCTTATCACACCACAGAAAACATTCTACGTCACGGAATTAAATAATATATTTGTTTATCAGAATAGAATAGAATTAAATAAAATTACATAAAATAATAATAATAAAAATGCTTACACTTTTAAGCACCTACAACCACACGTACATACATACACTCACACGCGCACACTCGCACTCAAACACACACACACACACACACACACACACACACACACACACACACACACACAAACACACACCTACTCTAAATCATAGGTAATCTTGCTCGGCTTATCTCAATATATAATGTTATTAGGAAGAGCGGTGCCTCCTGACACAGGTATTCTTTTATACTTACTAGGAGGCTCCAATTACTTTATTATTTAGTATTCCTTGAGAAGGAAATAAATGGATTTTTAATTTTTTTTAAATTAATTTTTTTAGTGGACTCCCAAGCATCCAGATGGTATGGATGGTATCGTAAGTATTGTCGCGATGTGCGTTGGTGAAATTTGGCGGCTGGAATTCATCCGAACTATTCCTCAGAGTACTAGCCGTGGTGAATGCGATAGAAAATGGAAAGGGATGCATCATCTCAGCAAAAACAGGTTCCTTTTTTAGACACTTTACATGAAAACTACACTCACCGCCATGTTTCTTAGATATTCGAAAGTTTGCTCGTAGGGCCGCACGTCCACTTGGGTTCCCTCAGAAGTCAAATGCTGTACGATGTCCGCAGAAAGTGATCCATTTCCCCAAAATAAAACTACGTTGTTAGGATATGTTGCATTCTGGAACAATATAAGAAAAATCACGTAATTATTTTACGATTTTTATGTTTATTATGAATAATGTACATATTATCCGGGATGATAGATATGACAAGGATATTAGAGGGACGAGATAACGCAGGACACAGAGGGGCCCTTCACTCTATTGTGAGAAGTTAGAATGTGTCAAAAAGTATGGTAATTCACAATGCTGTGATAGTCCCTACCTTAATGTATGATATTGAAAGTTGGGTGAAAGTACCTTTTGTAGGCCGATGATCAAGTAATATTTGCGTCGTCGGCGGCCTAGTTGCAAATGATGGTTACATTAATTAATAGGTCATTAAAAGAAAAGGGAATGAAAATAAACGCAATTAAGACAAAAGTGATGGTTATTGAAAGAGAAGAAAGTAAAACGAAATGTGAAATAAGAATAGAAGTGGAGTTGGTTGAGCAAGTAGATGAGTTTGTTGATTTAGCAGGGATGGTAGATATGATAAGGATATAGAACGACGAGTTAACGCAGGAAAGATAGTAAATGGGGCTCTACACTCTATTGTGAAAAGTCAGAATGGCACGTATGGCAATTCACAATGCTGTGTTAGTCCCTACTTTACTGTATGGTAGTGAAAGTTGAGTGTGGCAGAAGAAGCACGAGAGTAGAACAAATGCTGTAGAAATGCGCTCATTAAGGAATATATTGGGGCTAAATGTGAATGACAGGGTGAGAAATGGTGTGACAAGATAAAAGTGTGGTTTGCAAGATGATTTTGTCACCCGCGTTAAGAAAGGAATGCTTCGGTAGTTTGGTCACGTAGAAAGAATCAACGAGGAAAGAGTGACGAAGCAAATCTATGTTGCAGAAGTGAACGGAAGATTCGGGAAGGGACGCCCTAGGTAAAAGTTTATCGATCAAATTGGCGATATATTGATAATGGATCAAATTAAGAATACCCTTCACCGACGAGCATGTATGCGTAGATATAATGATGTAAAGGAGGCGAGAGAGGTGTGTCAGGATCGTGCCAAATGGAAGTCCGTAGTCTCTGCCTACCCCTCTGGGTGACAGGCGTGAGTATTTATGTAGAAATTCGGTCATTAAGGAGTATGTTATGGCGAAAGACAGTCTGAATGGTGATCAGGATTAAGAAAGGAATGCTTCATTGGTTTGGTTATGTAGAAAGAATGAATGAAGAAAGAGTTCAAAAGAAAAAAAAATTACAAAAGAGAAAGATAGAAACAAATAGTTAAAATGGTGTGCTAGCGAGATCGATTATTGTATGATGTAAATAGGTTGAAAAGAGAAAGCAATAATTATTACGTGTAATGGCGAAAGGTGTTTTATTTCGTCTAACACAAACATATTTCAAATTAGTAAGATAACAGTGTGTTCTGGCGAGAGCAACTTTTTATCACCAGTTAGCGTTTCCGATTTAATTAAATTACTTCGTTTGGGAGACTCCCCAGCCTTTCACTAGGTGGAATGACAGCCCTATGAAACTAACGGGTGATCGATAGATGCAGGTGTGAATCACCACTGAGCTTTGTGGTTAATCTAGGGGGGGGGGGGGATGTTTCTATTTAGCAGTTCACTTGTCACAAAAATGATAACAATGATTTCGTTGTAAGTTTTCATTTCTTTACACCTACCGAGTTCGGTCTCAGGATTAAGTAGGCGAAGAAAACCGGATTGTACGGTATATCTGATCCTCTTAGGTTGAGTGTAACTGAAAAGAATCATGAATTAATCGACATTAGTGCCTATTCGAAGGAACTCTCTCAATAGCTACTCAATGTCTATGGTACTATATATTTCTTTTTTACCGACTTCATAAAGGAGACAGTACTCAATTCTACTGTATGTTTTTTTATGTGTGTTACATCATAACTTTTTACTGGGTGAACCGATTTCGATGATTATTTTTTATTCGAAAGCTTTTGCTTCTCATGTAGTCCCATATGATCAAGATCTGACCAATAGTTTTTGAGTTATTCTTAATAATTTATATTGTAGTCGGTTGTACAAAACTTTTAATTTTAAATTATTTAATACCAAAACTAATTTATAACCACAGGAATATTATAGGTGGTGAAGCCATGCTGCAGCTCTATTATGGTTGTATGTAGCACAACTGGGTCGGCTCAACCGATAATGGACCACGCTCTCAGAGAGTACTCTCATATAATAGCAGCTTAATACAGCTGCGTTCCGTATAGTGAGAGTACCCGAAGACCCATAATACTGGAATCGAGGCATTCCATCTTATTCCTTACAGGTGACAACGCATCTGCATTTTGATTCTTTATTGAGAATAAATGTAGATGTTTATAGGCCACAGCATCCACTTACCATCAGGTGGAGTATGTGCTCGTTTGTTACCCTTATTCTATATGAAACTTACATCGCCGTGTTGTGATGGTGTCAGAGAAGCGATCTTTTATATCGTCCCGGGGTGTTTCTATTTACAGGGAATGCCAGAAAGATCTTTCAATGTTTCCTTTAGATGTCGGAAAATCTATCTGACCCAGTGTTTAACACACTGGCCTATAAACAACATATCTGTAGCCATCTTTATTTGAAGTTGGCTGCACGTGGCCGTGGGCTGTGGTGGCCACTTACTGTCAGGTGGACTGTGATTTTTTTATAGGATAAGGATGACAAACGAGCACACAGTCCACTTGATGGTAAGTTGTTTTTGTGGCCCATAGATATCTACATCTATCTTCGATTACGAATCAAAATGCAGATGCGTTGTCACCCGTGTTGACTCAGATGGAATGGCTCGTTTCCAGTAAAAAGGGTCTCCGATTAGAGAACCTGTGTTTCGTATGGTGAGTGTCTCTACACTCACTATACGAAACACAGCAGCTTTAAGCTGCTATTTTACGCTGTTATTCTGTGAGAGCGTGGTTCTTCACCGGTCGAGCCGACCCATTCGTGCTACAACCATAATAATGTTGCAGTATGGCAATACCACGTATATCTATATATGATTAGGTTTGTCACTTCAATATTACGAATATATAAAAATATCTATACTGTAAAACTATTAAGTTTCCATCTATACGTGGTAGAGCCATGCTGCAGCTATATTAGTAGTATAGCTGTAGCACGAATGGGTCGACTCGAGCAGGAAAGGACCACGCTCACACAGAATACCAGAGTAAAATAGCAGCTTAACGCTGCTGTGTTTCATATGGTGAGTGTATAGAACCGGAAACCACTTTTACTGTAAAAGAGGCATTCCATGTTAGTACTCGGGGGTAGACCCATCTCTATTTTGATTTGTAGTCGAGGATAGATCTAGGTGTCTATGGGCCACAGCAACTACTTACCATCAGGTGGACTGTGTGCTCGTTTGTAGCCCTTATATATAAAAAACCATTAATAACAGAAATTATCATCTTACAAGCGATATCGTCGAGTGCAGTAAGAACCAAAGCTGACGCTCCACGAGCCACGATCTGAGACATCAGATTTGACACCTTGTCAGCTGATCTCCTACCTAAATTTGAAGAATATAGTTAGTTTTTAACAATTTGGTAATTGAATCCTCCAAATAATGCTACAAAACACCTGAGCCACCTGCATCCATCGCATTCCTGCATGTCTCTCCAGGTTGTCACACCTTCGAGTGGGGGCCGCCCTACATTTCTACTTGCCCATACGAGGCTGACACTCGAAAACCTTTCGTTCCCACCATTGCTATCTCAGGTTACTGATCCGTTGGGTTGTGTCGGTCCTCAGTGATCGCCAGTACGGGTATTGCCGAAATCGATCAACTGGGGACCTTCTAGTGTATGCCACTCACATATGGGGCGAAGCCCTCGAGAACAGTGGTGAAGCACTTGCTGTTTCCCTCGATGTTTCGAAGGGTTTTGACAGGGTTTGGCACGCTAGTCTATTGGGCTAGCTTTCAGCGTACGGCTTATCCCCTTGCCTAATGGTCTTCGAGTGGGGGCCGCCCTACATTTCTACTTGCCCATACGAGGCTGACACTCGAAAACCTTTCGTTCCCACCATTGCTATTTCAGCTTACTGATCCGTTGGGTTGTGTCGGTCCTCAGTGATCGCCAGTACGGGTATCGCCGAAATCGATCAACTGGAGACCTTCTAGTGTATGCCACTCACATATGGGGCGAAGCCCTCGAGAACAGTGGTGAAACACTTGCTGTTTCCCTCGGTGTTTCGAAGGCTTTTGACAGGGTTTGGCACGCTAGTCTATTGGGCTAGCTTTCAGCGTACGGCTTATCCCCTTGCCTAATTGTCTGGGTGAAGAACTTTCAGAGTGAACGGTCTCTCCGGGTCGTCGTTGATGGCTGCTCATCCGATACTGTGGCGACTAACGCCGGTGTTCCTCAGGGGACCTTTCTCTCCGCAACTCTCTTCTTGCTGCATATAAATGATTTGCTCATTCTCGGTGTCTATGGGTATGCAGACGACAGCACAGTTGTGGAGAGATACCAACTAAGCACCTGGGCCAATCGGGATTAAATCCAGTCAGAAAGAGAGGCTATGCTTGAGCGTGTGACTCTCACACTACAGGCAGTCTCCGAATGGGGCGATGCCAATCTCGTGAGATTTAACGCCTCCAAAACACAATCCTGTCTTTTTACCGCTAAAAGGAGCCCGCTCACCCTGGCACCTACTTTCCGGAATGTATCCTTGGAGTACACAGACCGTCTTCAGTTGTTCGGGATTGAATTTTCTCCGAAAATAAACTATGGGTGGTTCATTGAGTCCAGAGCCAAAGCAGCCGCAAGGAAACTTGGTGTCCTTGCAAGGGTGCGACGGTACTTCACGCCGGGGCAGCTTCTTACCTTATATAAAGCGCAAGTCCGGTCGTGCATGGAGTACTGCTGTCACATATGGGCTGGTGGCAGCCAGTCTCTCGGTATTCTATAGGATGCATTTCAATGAGTGTGCGCAGGAATTACACGCCTTAATTCCTCCCTCTCCTTTCCACCATGGGACAACCAGACGGTCGGCGGGTCTTCATCCCTTTGTTGTCACACATTAGAACCAAACGGTTTGCTTCGTCTTTTGTAATGCGTACAGCAAAGGAGTGGAATAATTTGCCGGCGGTTATCTTTCCGTCCGAATACAATCTAGGCGTCTTCAAGGCAAGAGTGAATAGACTTTTGTTACGGTAAGACAGTGCGATTTACCATCTAAGGCTGCATCACCACTTACCACCAGGTGGATTGTGGTCGAGCACTGGCTTATAATAAGTTAAAAAAAAAAACTTTCGTTCTAGTGCGGATATCCGCAGTACGAAGCAGGGAAACTTCGTATATAGCCCACATTCATTACAGCCTAACAAAAGTGCACTATTGAACATAGGTCTCCCACATAGATTGCCTAATAAAGGAGATATTTGCCATTTTTTTCCTCACTTGGCAGGTGGGTTGGCAACGCAGTTTTTTATTATTTTGCGTTATTGCTTTGTTTTGCTGCCCATCTCCTACTTCATTATCCTCTATCGTATCTTACGACACACGCGGACGATATGGAATAGGAGATATTGCACGCCTCATAACGCGAAGCGCTATTATTTATTAGGTAGTGCTTTACTCTCGACACCTCAAGGTCAATCATTTTTGTGTTCTTAAAATGCCTCTATCTTGCACTTATACGATAATATGAGTAACCGTATATCAAGAAAACACTCTAATTAATCCATCTTACATTTTCTGAAAAATCATTATATATTGCTACTATGAAAAAAAACTGTTTGAAAAAATTTTACCTAGACGTCTGAATGTTCATTTTGTATGTGGTCACGATACCTCCCCAAAAATTAACATATCGAGACTGTTTTTTTTTTATTAGCTTCAGAACTAAATTTACTGGTTTCTTATTTCATATCAATAGCCTATAGTACGCGCAGTTTGTTAATAAAAAGATTATCAAATTTTATAAGCTTTATTGTTATTAAACATTTTAAGGCGCTTTCATATTTTTTTAGCTCTAGATAGACAAAAGACAAATGTACCATACAGCCTATATCGATTTTATACTTTGTATAATGGATTTATTTTGGTAAACATAATATCTTTTCCCTTTAGGTGACACTACCTGTTAAAATAATAGAGGGCTAAATTTAAAACACGTAAATAATATATTTTAAAAGTCGGGAATAGAATTTATTTTTTTCATCAAAATTAAATGAAATACTCATGAGGCGTGCACTTTTGCAATCAATGTTTGTTTAATAAAAATAATATACTTATTTTTCTTGATAAATTTAAGGTTCAAAAATGTACCAGTAAATTCCACTGAAAGCGCCAGCAACGCGTTATTGGGTCTCGGCGGTGGTGGGTCTCCGATGCGGACCCGGGCCAAGTCGACTAAGTTTTCGGGGATCGGCCTCAGGGTCACGTTAACTTGGTTCAGTGCATTCTGTGAAATATAAGTATTATCCAGTTCTTTCGTATCACAGGTCGTCCAAAAGGGTTCTTTTTCATTATGCTGCAGCAATACTGCTGCAGCATAATGCTGTGTCGGTGTTCTTTAGATAATAGGGTATTTTAATGAGGGCTAATAGTCTTCCACTCACCAGGTGTCGCTAGTTGACACTGATTTGAAGTCTTATCTTACACAATGTCATTTAATTGTGAAGTTAGTTTTAAATAAATGTTTATCAGTTTCTAGAGTATTATATTAATACACAAAACAATGCCTACGTGGTTTGTTCTTTAATGTTTTGCACATTTTTAACTCTTTTTTAATTTTTCTACTTTTATGAACATCTGTGGTTTGGTTTATTTATTTTTAATGTTATTAATATAAAATATAGCTAATAGTACAGAAAGAAACAATAACCTTTGCACTTTTTCGAACAAATTAACTTCCCCGCTATGAAATCTGTAAAATATTACTCCTCATTTTTAAGTAGCGCCGTCCTGGTAGCAGTAATGGTTGCGGATGTCCTAATTCGGTTTTATAGATATATATTTTACAGGATGTTACACGGCCTTTTAGGAAATTAGGGTGTTTTTAAAAAATAGGGCGTAATAGATGAACTAACCACAACTATGGAATAGAAAATTTTGCAAATATATTGTTTTTTTTAATTTTCATTTTATCAAAAAGATCTCCCGTTAAATAAAAGTAATTTAAACTAAACTCTTTACTCAGCAGCCGCTTCAAGGTCAAGGTGCTGCAAATTTATTGATACTACCCACGAGTAAAAGTACAGACTGAAATTTTTAATCGCTTTTTTACTCTTGCAAAATAAAAGATTACTTCAAAAATTTTAAAAATATTTATGAAATACTTCTATTATTTTTAGTATAACTCAAAGTAAAAAATGACTCAATAAGAGAGGGAAAAGAAGAAGTTTAGTCTCTTGAGAGTTATTTATAATCTATATTGAATAAAAATTATTCTATTCTATTCTATTTTATTCTCATGGCTTTTTTAATTTATTTCTTTCATCACTACCAAAATAAATGGTGAAGGTACCTCTAAAGTTGTCCAAGCGCTGCGAGTGTATGTGGTGGGATCAACGCCTATCACAGAACCTGACGCCATGTTTGCCACAAGCCAAGCTTGGATAGAAAGGTCCGTGCCTGAAATTGTAGATTGATATACTATGGAGTTTTATTTCTTCTACTTCTCCATCAGCCTACAAAAGTCCACAGCTGGATATAGTCTTCTCCGGTTGACAGGAGTTATTGCCTTAGGGTCAGTTCACACCGAGACGTGACGCGACTCGACGCGGCGCGCATTTTTAAGGTAGTGATACAAAATATAACTTTATTTACTACACAATAAGATACACATTTTATTGTGATAATTCGAAAATGCCCCCCGGCGTCGCGTTACTCCGCGCTGCGCCTCGAGATCCCTCGTGTTGCCGTAGCGCGGTGCATCACGACGCAATGGTACTTCATCGGTAGGTGCAGCCTGCAAGAGCGGTGCGTTGCCCAGCGACTTTACGATGCGCCTCGCAGCGGCACCCTGCGCCTCTACGAGCACTGGCCTCTTCAAGCGCCATCACATCGCGTCTCTATGTGAACTGACCCTTAATCTAATTAATAGAATCAGGCGTTACTTTGCAGAAATCAATTATATTAAAGTTGGTAAATATTATTTGGCATATATCGGCTAAATGAAATAAAACGACGTGTCTTACCTAGTTTGAAAAGCACTTGCCTTCCTCCCTCAATTGTGTGCACTATCCCCGTCACCATTAGTCCCAGCACCACTACGCTAGAAACAACGCACCACTGCACCGACGACAATACGACACGCGTTTCGCTTCTAGACGAGGCATCCTCATGTGAAGTAGACTCTGCGGTGGCTGACCGTTAAGGGACCCTTAATCGTCAAACTTAGCAGGGGCATTGACAATCACATTAGCCCAGCCGTGAGGTGAGCACCTTTGACGTTACTGCTCCTCGTCGTACGGAGTATTTTAGTTCTGACGTAAAAAAGGTGGACATCCGAAACACCTTTATTCACGTGGTAGAGCCACGCTGCAGCTATATTAGTAGTATAGTTGTAGTTCGAATGGGTCGGCTTGACTGGGGAAGGACCACGCTCTCACAGAATACCAGCGTAAAATGGCAGTTTAACACTGCTGTGTTTCGTATGGTGAGTGTAGAGAACCGGAGACCCCTTTTTACTGGATACGAGGCATTCCATCTTAGTCCTCACGGGTCACAACGCATCTGCATTTTGATTCGCAAACGAGAATAGATGTAGATGTCTATGGGTCACAGCAACCACTTACGATCAGGTGGACTGTGTGCTCGTTTGTCACCCTATCCTATAAAAAAAACCTGAGGAATCAAGTGCCTTAGTGATGAAATCTTTCATTATTATCATTATAACCTTCACAGGGCCACTTCTAAACATAGGCCTCCCCCAAGGAATGCCACAAAGTACGGTTCTGAGCCACCTGCATCCTTGGATTTGCATATCTTACCAGATCGTCGCTCTATCTAGCAGGGGAACGCCCTTCACTTCGCTTACTGATACGAGACCGCCACTCCAGAACCTTTCTATCCCATCGATTGTCTATTCTTCGACCTAAGTGACCGGCACATTTTGCTTACTTATCCAATGGAATCCATAACAATGATATATGTATAATATATATGAATGATGGGATCGATAGGGAAAGGACTTACAGAATAACATCGTAAAATAGCAGCTCAATGCTAATGAATTTCGTATGGTGAGTGTACAGAACCGGGGACACTTTTTACTGATAACGGAGCACTCCATCTTAGTACTCACGGGGCACAACGCATCATCTGATTTCGATTCGAGTAAATGTAGATATCTATGGGTAACAGCATTTCCTTACCATCAGATGAACTGTGTGCTCGTTTGTTACCCTTATTCTATAAAAAAAGATCCGCAATAGAATCAAAATTTCCAATAAAGACCTACGGATCAGAAAGCTTAAGTGGCAAGCCTTATCGGTCCACCATATGGTTCAAAGAAATGATAACCGATTGGAAAGAAAGGTCTTCAAGGGACCAACTCGTACCGGAAACTCCGCTAGATGATAACCTGATAAGGCTTAAAATTGATGGATGCAGGTGGCTCTGTACCGTGTTTTGTGGCATTTCATGGAAGAGGCAAATGTTCAGCAATGAACTTCCGTAGGGATGATAAGTAGTTAGAAAATCGTCGGGATATCTCAGTTTTGATTGTTCTTCTGACGATATGCTGTTTATAAAATTTATCAAGCAGATAAACCCTGAGTCTAATACTCTTCATACCACACTGAGTGTCATTGTAATTCCTTAAAGAAGGACTACTATTTTAATATTCTGAGATAAACCGGACAAGAAGATTCACTGTAAATCTATTATCGAGGTAGATATGATACAACAAGAAATTAATGTTTATTACATTGTTATTTAAAATCAATATTGTTCAATAAGGGTTATTATATTAGCAAAAAGAACATGATTGATAATAACCCCTCGGAATGAGGTGAGCAATCACTCTGCATGATCATTCTGGTTCTAAATGTTTTCATATTTAATTGTACACAACATATTATATTGTAAATTAATGTTTAAAAAAGTGCCGCTGGGTTTCTTGTTGGTTCTTCCAAGTACAGAGGTTTTTTTTCAAACTAGTGGTAAAATCATAAAAGACTTTCAATAAAACATTTGTCAAACATTGAATAAAATATTCTATTCTATTTCATTCTATACCATTCCACTTCACTGTATTCTATTTCATTTCTTAACATTATATTCCATTCTATTTTCTTCCATTCCATTCTATTCTATTCTAAATTCCACTCACCTTGCCTCATCAAGCTCCATACGCTAGTGTCCACTTCCAAATAGAACTGGGTAAAGTATCGTCCATCAGTCCACACGAGAGCGTGCGATGACGTCACCAGCGCTGTTCCAGATGACCCGGACAGACCGGAAAGCCACTCACGACGCGCATCCGACGGTGCAATGTACTGGGACTGAAAAAAAATTACTTAAATTATTTTTCTTTTTTCTTACGATGCGGTTAAGCGTAAGGAGCTGGCACTTGGTGACCTGGTCCAGAAATGAGAACAGTATTCCAAGTGAGGGCGAACTTGCGTCTTGTAAAGTTGGAAGTGGTATACCTACATGAAATACTGTCCCGCTATGCTGAGCACGCCAAGCTCTTTAGCGAATGAAGCCTTCCCTTCCAAAGAACTGCAGAGCTGTACATGATTCAATATATCATGTCGACGCCGTGGAGTCTGATACTGGCTATGGCAGTAAAGGCAGTGCTTTGAAATTAGGGAGATTCGATAAAGGTACACAGCTGTATACTCGATACTAAGGTGCACTTTCGCTTGCAGGTGAAATAATGAAAGAAACCAGTCTTCACTTAATGACTATATTGGTCTCTTTAAATACTGTAACGTCATACCTATAAATAAAAAACTTGAATGTCATATCATGATTGAAGATTTTAATACGATTTCTTCATTAAAAATGGTAAAATTTTCTGATAGAACGCGACAAAGTAATAAAAAATCTGTAGCAAAAATAAAATCAAATAACTTTTATGGAGACAGGAGAACTGTTAATATATTAGCTTCTATTCTAAACGATCTTCCAGAAAACCTTAAGGACGAATTGACAGAAAAAAACTTAAAATATAAAATTAAGCATTATGTACTAGAAAACCTGAATTGTCTTCCTTAATAAATTCTCAAATGATATTAAATCTATATGTATTTATATGTGTATATGTATATATATATATATATATATATGTGTGTGTGTGTGTGTATGTGTGTATATATATATAGGTATATATAAAATTATTTTATTAAATAATTATTTAAAAAAAAATTGCTATAGAAATCAGCCTGTATATGTATGGTATACCGTACACGCTCATCGCGGTAAACTAGCGAAACCTGTTTGTCGTCATGTCACTAATACAATGAATAGGTTGTTAGTTGTTATCATACTTAACTTTATCAATTATACGATGGTAGTTATTAAAAATAATATATTTATGCGTATAGACGTCTACAAGCACCAATACAAACCGTTTTGCGGTTTAATGGTGCTGTATAGTAACTATGCACTATTGTAATATGTTTTATGTATCACTAAATAAAAAAAATAAAAAATTACTTTATCCGTACTGAGTTGACACATTATGAAATCTGTTGCCGCGCAAACAACTACAGCGAGATACATTGTTTTATATGGATAATATATAGGGTTTACCGGCAGCTAGCAAAAATATCAAATATGTAATAAACATACCGCGCTATGGAACACGGACCATGTACAGTCTACTACGATCGTGATACTTGGATCTGCAAGAAATCTTGGGAAGTCCTTAGGAAAGCAGTTTCGAAAGAAACGCTTTGTGCCAAACTCCATCCAAGGCCTTCGCTACTTACGAAACAACGGCCAAGGCCTTGGACTCTACCTATGCCTCCGTTCATCTATGACTCAGGTAAATTAGAAGATCACCAGCTGAGCGAGCTCGATGGAAACCGCATTGACGGTCACTAATCAGCTGGGGTCCTCAAAATACCTCATGAGCAGGTAGATTATACTGGATTCCATTATTATGGAGAACAAGGAGGTCGTCGGACTAATTTATGTCTAGTGTTAACCGGATGGTAATACCGCTATCTATCGGAAGCAATAAGATTATTCTGACACATCCCATAGGTCCAAAGTCACCTCTTAAGGTGAAAACGCCAGGGTGGCCCGCGAAATTCAAATTTTCTTTCGTTTTTTGGAATTTGCAGTTCAGGGTCAGGTTGTATGTTTAACAAAATATGATTCGCGGCCGTAACGAGTATGAGTTTACAGAATTATTATCATTAAAATCACCAAGTTCATATGATCCCTTTGAATGAGTTTTTCTGGAAATAGCCATACAATATTCTTCATTTATATATACGGAGGGGCACACTGAAATGACCGGGAATAGAATATTTCGGATTGAGTTACAATAAAACCTTTTTTAGAATTTGAATAAGGGCCTCTTAGATTCTTAATGACATTCAAACAATTAAAAAAATGTTTAAAAACAAAAACTATGTTAGTTTAAAGTTGACACGTCGTTAACAAAAATGGAGCTCACGCGTGAACATTTCCGTGCCATAATTTATCACAATTTTCGTCGCGGCTTATCTCAAGATAAATGTCTCAGCGAATTTGTTTCGATTTATGGTGTTGAAGCACCGAGTCAAACGACAATATACCGCTGGTATGCCGAGTTTCGACGTGGTCGTGTATCGCTCAGCACTGTTTCTTCTGCAGGTCGACCAAGAACAGCGGTCACGCCTGAAAACATCGCAGCTGTGCGAACTATTATATTAGACGACCATCATGTGACATACGAGCAGATCGCGCTGTTATCAGTAGCGGAATGACTGCAATTCAGTCGATATTACATAATGAGCTGTGTGTAAGAAAGCTAGTTTCCCGCTACGTTGCCCACAATTTGTCCGAAGAGCAAAAGGTGGCTCGTGTAGATTGGTGCCGGAATACTCTGCAACGCTTCAACAGAGGGAAGTCAAATACCGCTTATAATATCGTCTCAGGTGACGAATCATGGATTTATTTATACGAACCTGAAAGAAAACATCACTCAGCAGTTTGGGTCTTCGAAGACGAGGTCAAACCAACGAAAGTGGTTCGCTCCCGCAGCGTGTCAAAGAAAATGGTCGCTACGTTTGTCTTGAAAAAGGGGCACGTTGCTACAATTCCTTTACAGGAACGCAGAACGGTTACCGCTGAGTGGTATATCATGGTTTGTTTGCCAGAAATGATAGCCGAACTCCAAAAAATAACCCCAAACTTCGCATACATCATGATAATGCGAGCTCCCATACGGCTCGGAAGACAAATGATTTTTTGAAGCAGGAAAACGTTGAGCTGATAAACCATTCCCCGTACAGTCCTGACCTGAACCCAAACGATTTCTTTCCATTCCCTAGAATGAAAGATTAATTACGCGGTCAACGGTTTGAAGACCCACTTCAGACCGGAATAACTGTTTTAATGATTGGTTTGCACGAATGGAAAAGTGCATTAAGTTGAACGGAGAATACTTCGAAAAACAATAAAATACAATTTAGCTATACCGTGCATGTCGTTTTTCTTATTCCCGATCATTTCAGTATGCCCCACGTATATATAATACTCGTATAATAATAATATAATAATATAATATTCCACAACTATCAAACAACGCCATCTAGTCCCAAGCTTGTGTTATGGGTACTAGACAACTGATAAACATACTTATATATTTCTAAATACATAAATATTATAGATAAATTACACCCAGACACAGAACAAATGATCGTGCTCATCACACAAACATTTGTCCTGGGTGGGAATCGAACCCACGACCTCCGGCGTAGCAGTCAGGGTCACTAACCACTAGACCAACAGGCCAGTCAATATAGACAGTTTATCTTACGTTATGCGCATCAGCTGTAGGCACTATGTAGGCATCTACTCCTCGCTCCTGCAGGATTCTCCTGACAGCGTCCAGCCGCTGTTGTGCAGTTTGACGACTCATCTTGCTTCTGGATTCGGAAGCTGTAATATTATTTATATTTAATCTACATAAAACACTGGGCTTTCTTGGAGTTAAACACACTATAATTTACTTTTTTCTTCGTGTAATGGCGATGTAAGAATATCCATTATCTCTTATCGTCCTTTGGGTGTCGTAAGAGACGGAGACAAATAAACCAGGAGTCTTCCTAATATCAACTAAAAATTTAAATATTTAGGAACATGTAAGGCACGCTTTTGACCCGCACCAGTCTAAGCAAATTTAGATTCGTAAGAGGCGACAGAGTGAAAGACAGACCTGTGTTGGGTAGCTAAGCGTTTCAGCTATTGCAAACATTCCCTATGAACCAGTCTATGGGGGAGGCTTGTGTTTAGCTGTGGACTTATATGTGGCTAAAACAGTAAGGAAAATATGCGTCAACTACATTTACTTATATATAAACTTACGAAAAATCGGTGCATTCGGTTCCGCCCAGTCATATTGGCCGCTGGCCACGTACGCAGAAATATGATGAAGTGGTAAACTGTAAAGAAAAGAAATATACTTAAATGGTTACGTTTGTTTATGATGCCCATCACAAGTTCACAACTGAACCCTCCAACAAATAATTCTATAAGGCAAAGTGCTCAGCCACTTGCATCCATTAACTTCCTGCAAGTCTTACCAGGTCGACACTCCATTTAGTGGGGGCCGTCCTACACTTCGCTTACCGGAACGGGGCTACCGCTCTTCTTCTTGGCTGCCTTTCTTTCCAATCGTTGGTCGGGATTTCAGGCTATGTGACCGGCACATCGCCACTTCAGCTTACTGATCCAATGACTTTAACCGGTTACTCTGGATCCACTTCGGATATCTTCATTATGAATTTTATCATGCCCTCTATGTTATCTCCCCCATGAGCTCGCTGAACGACCTTAAGCGTCCTCATACGGCTAGCAGTGGAGGACCACATCTTAGTTTCATATGTGATCACTGGCAACACTTACTGTTTGAATATTTGTTTTCAAGTTTTAAGGAATACTTGACGAAAAGATGTGTCGTAAAATGTATACGTTGTAAGCCCACGCTGCAGCTATATTATGGTTATAGTATGAATGGGTTAACTCGACCGGGGAAGGACCACGCACTCATAGATATATCAGCGTGAAATAGCAGCTTAATGCTTCTATGTTTTATATGCTAATTGTTTAGAACTGGATACCATTTTGATACTTGAAACTAGGCATTCTATCTTAGTCTTCAGGGAGACAACACGTCTACATTTTCATTTTGATTCGAGGATAAAAGTAGTTACTTATGGGCCACGACATCCACTTACCATCAGGTGGTCTGAGTGCTCGTATGACCTCTAAAAATTCACCCAAATACCTGTGAACGCACTCTTCAGCATACAAGTATATAATAATGTGTTTATCTAAAATTATTTTTTAATGTTAATTAAGTAACTATCCCTTTTTGTTTATTCTCTCTCTCTCTCTCTCTCTCTCTATTTGATTTTCTTAAACAGTGTGCAAAAGATCGATTGTTACGTTGGCTGTGTGGCACATTGCGTCGTCCTGTTGAAACCAAATGTCATCTATGTCCTCTTCAATTTTGGGAAACAAAAAATCACCTAGTGTGGCGCGGTAGCGATCGCCATTCACTGTAACGGCGTTTCCTTGCTAATTTTCGAACAAAAATGGCTCAATAATGCCGCCAGACCAAAATCCGCACCAGACAGTCACTCGTATTGGATGCATTGGTTTCTCCACGGTGACGTGTGGATTTTCTAAGCCCCAGATACGACAATTTTGCTTATTTTTGCGGTGGAAATGAGCTTCATCTGCAAAGATGATTTTTCAGTAAAAATGCCCATCTTTGATCAAGCGGTCTTCGGCCCATTGAGCAAACCGAAAACTCGTCGGATGATCATGCGATTTCAGCTCTTGCACCGATTGAACTTTGTGCCTACGCATTCATACCGAGATCTTTATGCAAAATTCTTCTCAAAGAAGTGCATGAAATGTTCAATTCCTGAGAAGATGACGAGTTTATGTTGATGGTTGTTCACGCACGCTCTGAGCAACAACAGCGACGTTTTCGATTGACATCCTTATTGCAAATTTTTGAAAAATCATGTTATACGTAGTAGAGCCAAGCAGCGCCCATATTATGGTTGTAGCACGAATGGATCGGCTCGACCGGGGACGGACCACGCTCTCACAAACTATCAGCGTAAAATAGCTACTCAATGCTGCTCTGTTTCGTATGGTAAGTGTAGAGAACCGGAGACACTTTCTATTGGAAACGAGACATTACATCTAAGTCCTCAGGAGAGACAACGCATCTGCATTTTGATTCGTGATCTAGAATAAATGTAGATGTCTATGAGCCACAGTTTCCAATTACCATCAGGTGAACTGTGTGCTCGTCGGGTCGGGTGTTAGTCAGCCTTATTATATTTAAAAAAAAGTTGAACTTCTTGACACGCACACACCTTTCTTCTTTCTATCTAGACGCACACATATGCACTTAAACCTGTTGGTTGCAAATGATTTTAGATGCATTTGTGTGTGTGTTCTTGCATATAATAAGTATGGCATGGTTTTGGCTTGGTTTCGGCGTTACTAGAAATGTACGCAGCGCTCAATTTATATTTTGTTTCCTTTTACATCTTGAAATTTTTGGTTATGCAATTGATCAATTTCAATACAGATTTATCAGAGCATTTGGTTATATATTATATATATTTCGTAAATAAAATTATTAACTCACCATAAACAGATAAAGAACACACAAACAAACCGCTGAGCCGCCATTTTGCAATAACTGTTAAGCTAGCTCATGATATTGATTTCATTTATCTGCTATCTTAAGATTATGGAATATTGTTAACTCTTCCGACTAGCTCGATACCGCAGCGACGCTTATTTTGTTAATAAAACCACAGAATAAATAATTGTTAAAACTTTATGAAGTTTGCCTTTTACCATCCCACTTTTTAGGTACTCAAAGGGTAACCAACGGGACCCTGTTACTAAGCCTCCGCTGTCCGTCTGTCTGTCTGTCAACAGTTGAAATTCTCACAGAATATGTATTTCTGTTGCGGCTGTAACAACTAATAATAAAAATAAATTAAAGGGGGCTCCCCCACTATAAACATGTTTTACGATGGTACGGAACCCATCATGCGCGAGTCCGACTCGCACTTGGCCGCCTTTTTATCCAAGTTCTAAGTATCAGCGATAAACAGGCACACAGTCCATCTGATGGTAAGTGGATGTTGTGGCTCATAGACACCTTCATCTATTCACGATTTAATATTAAAACTCAAATGCATTGTCACTCCTGAGTATTAAGATGAATGCTTTGTTGTCAATATAAGGGTCTCAGTCTCTAGTCTCGTTACACAAAAGTTATGTTTTTATAGAAGACTAGCTGTGCCCCGCAGTTTCACCCGCGTCATCACGTATCCGAGGTGCGCGACATGACCTAGTTCAAGCATTTTATAACGGCTAGGGTTTAAGCGTCGTTCGCGCGCCCAGCCAAGTATTGAATTATTTTAATTTTACATTATCTCTTAAACTATGCGTCCAAATAACATGGTATAAGGAACAAAGTTTATCTTCATTAAATTGTCTTGATGATGAAGTAACTTTCGTTCGTAAGGATAAATAGGCCATGCCTAATAATAACGTTCATAAATCACTTTTAAATTTTCAATATTTTTTTGTCACAAAATACCAAATTATGGCTTATAATAAGAAATAGACATATGGTATCGCGTACTTTTTTTTAGAGGGAGTGAAGGTCTATATTTTTCTAGAACATTGTATTTACGTAGCCCTAACGATAACACCAGCGTACGCGGATAAATCATTACGGGAGTGCTTTTTCTTCTGACTTGCTTAACAAATATCCCAATTTAAGGCTAGCTGAGTAATATAGCTTAGTGCTAGATAGCCTATACTATTCCACATGAATCTGGCTATAATATACAAAAGAACTTTTCAAATCGAGCTGGAAGTTCCAGAGATTAGCGCATTTAAACAAACAAAAAAACAAAAAAAAAACTCTTCCGCTTTATTATATTAGTATAGATAGATAGATGGGACAAGAACTAGAATGCCGCTCGTTTGATGGTAATGCCACCCATGAAAAAATGCAACACCAAGGGAAACATAAGTGCGTATTTAATATCTGATAAAGTATGGTTATTATGGTTGTATTTATTTATTTATTTAATTGCACGAATGGGTCGCCTCTACCGGGGAAAGACCATGCTCTCACAGAATACCAGCGTGAAGTAGAGGTTTACCTCTGCGTTTCGCTTGGTGAGTGCAGGTGGCCGGAGGCCCTTTTTACTGGAAATGAGGCATTTCATCTTAATGCTCAGGGGTCACAACGCATCTGCATTTTGATTCGTAATTGAGGATAGATGTAGATGTATATGGGCCACAGCAACTACTTAACATCAGTTGAACTGTGTGCTCGTTTGTCATCTTTATTCGAAAAAAGGTGCATTGTAAGCCTTTTAGAATGGTGTAGGCTCTGTATATACCGTACGACGAAGGGACCTTCAACCCTTCGTCGTACGGTTCGGAAAAATCGCTGGTGGAAACTGGGTTCACAAGCAAGTCGTGGCAGTAAGGAAAACTCCTAGTAAATCGCATAGTGGTGGACCGACAGGCATCTAGATTGTGTGTTTGGTATCATGAATTTTATCGCGTGTTGTGTAGTTTAGAATGTTTAGAAATAAAAAAAAAAATTATACGCGATAAAATCCGTATAATTACTTTTATTTCCTAGTGCTATGACGTCTAAACTTAGGTATTACTTCTGTAGTTAAATTATTACTTAATTCATTTTTCGCTATAAATACCCATCTAACAAAAAAATGAAATAAATTCATCTTTCATTATCCTTCGGTAACTTAAAAAATTATATATCTGTTCCCTTTTGTTTGCTCACTAAGCATCCATCCACGCAACAATTATAGTAGGAACGACACGATAGGTAATATACATACATATATTATTTTTAAATTCCTACATTAAAACTTTTTCAACTATTTTATCCTACAATTAAATATACTAAACACTAAACAAAAACTATTTCAACAAGTATTTACAAAAAAACTATTTACGTAAACAGGGTTAAGCAGTGTTAAAATTTTTTAACACTGTTAGCGTTAACGCAACGTAAACGTTAACATTCAATCGCCTACAACGCGCTAGCCCTAACTGCGCATGTAAGTCCGGGACACCTCGCGATTGTAGGTAATTATTTCACGCAGGTAACTAGAGTGACAGAGGCCTGGCTTAGATAGGGTCGTCTTTGAGTTGCGTCGCCTTGACACGTGCCGCATCTTATCAAAGGCGCAGCCGTGACATCAAAGGTCGCCGCGTGCGGCGTACACCCGCAGGAGAATTTGGTATTTTAAAACGAAGTGCCGTTGTGAAAGGTTCTTTGCTATCTAACTTGTGTTTATTATTTATATTCGTATTTTATTACAACAGTCATAAGAGTAAAATTTTATTCTATTTTATTCATAGAATAGAAAACATTTATTTAACAAACAAAACAAAAAAAAACAAAAATAAAAACAAAATAATAAGTGCGCCTCAGGGTGTACCAACGCTAGCTTAGTGAACAGACTATACAATAAGCATTGACTTATACATATATTAGTAAGACAATATTTTAAAATAGTTATAGTAACGGGAAAGTACACTTTCAACTTATCAACAATCAGTATTACAATTTATCAACAATATATAATATACAATTTATCAACATGGTTTAAAAACAGATCAATTTTGTTGTGAAACAGGTTTAATACTATGAAGAAGCTACAGGGCGCACCTAACAGGTATAGCGATTCCGCACTGACTGTTTTTATTTCTGGAGAAATATTATTGAAATTTTAAATAAAGGCGGCTCTTCACGTTGACCAATATACTGGCGAATAAGTTGGCCAATAAGGATGGCCATCGTGTAGAGCGGGTTTTTATGCATAAGTTAGTATGTATTGGAATGATGGCCCACAAGTTGGCGCGAGATCCGTGTGGTGTCGGTTTTTTACAAAAGATCAAAGGGTTGTGGCAGAGTATTGGCCACATAATTGTTCCGGGTCTGGATGTTTGCCCTTATGCAATTTATGTTTGTAAACTGCCTCCACGATACAGGAGAAAATCCTAGTGTGGGGGTTATCAATCAATATCTTTGCTAACACATTCGCCACTATGTTGGCCAACGTGAAGAACCGCTATAAAATTTAAATCAGGTGCATGCGAACACTCTGGGAGCTCGTAGTAAACTGAAGGACCTATCAACGTGTGGACGCGATCACAAATTCTTGTCCAATATCTTTGACACACATTGGCCACTATGTTGACCAACGTGAAGAGCCGCCTTTAGAACTAGATAAATTATTGTAAATAAATATTTCACATTTATTGATATTTTTTTATTTAGGCACGTTATCACGGGGAGTTGGACTGCATTATAATTTAAATTTTTCGTATTAGTTTTTTTTATTATAGTTTTTTTTAATATTGTATATATTAAAAAAATATATACACACACACACACACACACACACATACACACATACACACACATACACACATACACACACACACACACACACACACACACACACACACACGCACGCACGCACGCACGTGCGAGCACATACGATTACATCTAAATTGTTATGCGCTAAAATGTAATAAAGTGTCGGTTCGGTTAATATGAAATGTTTTCTAAAATGAAAAAAAAGTAAATCCTTATTGGCTGTAAGATATAGATGTATATGAAAAATAGTTATAAGAACTTAAAGAGCTGTGGATTTTGTTAAATAAATAAAATAAAAATAAAATAAAATTTCATTACATGTTTAAATTAAAATAATATAATTTTGATTGACAACGTTGATAACCACAGTTTATTTTTTATTTTTAATCGTTATTAGGAAGACGCTGCTGCCCATCTCCTGATTTGTTTCCCTCTGTCGCCTCTTACGACACCCACGGGATGATATGGGGTAGTGGATATTCTTACACCGCCACTACACGGTTAAATTATGTTAAGGCTTTAACAAGCCTGAATAACCTTGACGAAACGGCGATCGCAGAGATTTTAGCCGATGTCAACACCGTCTAGCAACTACGTTCTGTATTACTTATAAAAGTGCAAAGATTAATAGACTGCAGAGATGACAATTATATAAGTGACATACTGCCTGTTATGCTTGCGCATCACTGAGAATTATGTCGCGGTTACGCATCTTCAATTACATTGCACGGTGTGGTGCTGTAGCTTTGTCCGGTAGGCATTACGAGCTATCAAGTGTTCAAGTTTCAAGTACGTAAGAATTTTTATTATATATGTTAAATTGTATTTATTTGTGTCGTATTAAAAATATGTCGTCAAAGCGTTCGCTGTAAATTTTCCCGGGTTTGATCCCCGACAGCACGAATGAAATTTGTAATTGCAATTTTCGTCAACACGCATTGGGTAAGCACGGCGGGCATTTCCTTGCCCTAAAACCCTCTCAGAAATAAAAAACGAGTCCTGTGCCCAGTAGAGGGACTTGTATAGCCTATACTTTACTTTGTAGCAATATTTATATTCGTTTCAGATATAGAAGGGTACCTTATGATGACAAAAATATCATGTGAAGGCGACGAAAACGTAAAACATCTTTGTACCTAGATAAAACGTTCGAAAGATTGTCAGTCATGTCATACGCCACATTTTCTATAGAGCGTAGAACATTGCAGATAGGGCAAAATAAAAAATAATCCAATATATT